AACTATATTCCTTATATATTTACTATTTTATTTTATAATGGTAAAATTTAATTACTATGTTTAATATATCAGGTAATATAATTCAATTCTGATATTATTATTATTTTTCTGTAAATTTACTGGAGTGACATTGGTTAATAAAACCATACAGGTCAAGTATACAACTCAATAACACATCATCTGCATACTGCATCGAGCGCTCACCACACAAAGTAAAGTCTCCATTCCCCATTATCCTCCTTTTACCCTCTTCTATGACCCCCCACCCCACTTTCCCACTGGCAATCACCTTACTGTTTCCCTGTCTGTGTATTATATTTATTTTGTTTTGCTTCATCCCTTCACCTTTTTCACCCAGCCCCCAATGCCCCTCCAATCTGACAGCTGTCAGTTTGTTCTATGCATCTATGCTTCTGTTACCATTTAGCTTGTTCAATTATTTTGTTAATTAGACTCCCAGTAAGTGAAATCATATGGTATTTGTCTTCTCTGACTGGCTTGTTTCACTTAACACAATACTCTCCAGGTCCATCCATGTTGTCACAAAAGGTAAGATTTCCTTCCTTATTTTGTAACTGAGTAGTATTCTATTGTGTGAATGTACCACCGCTTATATTTTTTTTAACATGTTCATTTTTTAAATTTTTTAAATTAATTAATTTATTTATTTTTGTTACAGATGTTTCTTCTCCCCCCCCCCCATTCCCCCTCGCCACCCTGTCCCCACCTTTGTTGTCCATGTCCATTGTTCATACATACATGCATATAAGTTCTGTGGTTTATTTCTCCCCTCCACCCCCTCTTCTGGGGACTGTCAGTCTGTACTCCACTTCCACGTCTCAGGGACTACCCCATTCCTCAGACTGTTATGTTCATTATATTCCACAAATAAGTGAGATCATGTGATATTTGCCATTCTCTGCTTGGCTTGTTTTGCTTAGGATAATACTCTCCAGGTCCTTCCATGTCATCTCAAATGATAAGAGATCTTTCTTTCTTACGGCTGCATAGTACTCCATTGTGTATATGTACCACTGTTTTCTTATCCATTTGATGGACATTTGGGTTCTTTCCAGATCTTAGCTATTGTAAATAGTGCTGCTACAAACATGGAGGTACATATATTCTTTCTGATTAGTGTTTCAGGCTTCTGAGGGTATATTCCTAGAAGTGGAATCACTGGGTCAAATGGCAGTTCAATTTTTAATTTTTTGAACTAACACCACGTTGTTTTCCATAGTGGCTGCACCGGTCTGCATTCCCACCAGCAGTGTACTACAGTCCCCTTTTCTCCACACTCTCGCCAACACTTGTTGTTTGATGATTTGTTGATGGCAACCATTCTGACAGGTATGAGGTGATACCTCATTGTTGTTTTAATTTGCATCTCTCTGATGATTAGTGATGTTGAGCAATTCATCATATGTCTCTTGGCCATTTGTATGTCCTCTTTTCAGAGGTGTCTAGTTAGTTTCTCTACCCATTTTTTAATTGGGTTCTTTGCTCATATACTGATGGGCACTTGGGCTGATTCCAAATCTTGGCTGTTGTAAATAACACTGCAATAAACATAGGGGTATGCGCATATATTCTTTCAAATTAGATTCTTGGGTTTCCTCAGATAATTTCCCAGAAGAGAAATCACTACATCAAAAGCATTTTGATTTTTTTTTAAGTATGTTTTTATTTATTTTAGAGAGAGAGGAAGAGAGAGAGAGAGATCCATGTGAGAGAGAAACATTAATTAGCTGCCTCCTGCACACAACATAGTGGGATTTGAGCCCAAAATCTGGGCATGTGTCCTGACCAGGAATAGAATCATTGACCCCTGGTGTATGGATGACACTCACCTGAGCCACACTGGCTGGGCGATTTTTAAGTTTGTGAGGAAACTTTATATTGCTTTCCAAAGTGGCTGTATCAATCTGCATTCCCACCAACAGTGCAGGAGAGTTTCCTTTTCTCCATATCCTGGACAATACTTTTTGTTTGTTAATTTATTGATGATAGTCATTCTGACAGGCATAAGTTCATATCTCATTGTGGTTTTAATTTGCATCTCTCTGATGACTAGTGACATAGAGCATCTTTTCGTATGTCTACTAGCCATCTGTATATTCTCTTTGGAAAAGTGTCTATGCAGGTCATTTTATAACTGGATTTGTTTATTTCTGGGTGTTAAATTTTATAAACTCTTTATGTTTTGGAAATTTATCCCTTATCAGATGTATCATTGGCAAATATATTCTCTCATTCAGTGAGTAGTAGTTTCATTTGGTTAAATGGCTTCTTTTCTGTAAAAAGGCATTTTACTTTGATGTAGTCCCATTTGTATATTTTTATTTTTTGTTTCCTTTGTCTGAGGAGATATATTAGCAAAAATATTGCTACAAAAATGTCTGCAATTTTATTGCCTATGTTTTCTCCCAGGATTTTTATGGTTTCATGACTTGCATTTAAGTCTTTAATCTATTTTGAGTCTATTCTTGTATATAGTGTAAGAAGGTGGACTAGTTTCATTTTTTATTGCATGTACCTTCTCCAGTTTTCCCAACATTTATTAAATAGACTGTCTTTACCCCATTGCATGTTCTTGCTTACTTTGTCAAATATTAATTGACTGTTAAGGTATGAGTTTATTTCTGGGCTCTCCATTTTGTTCCATTAATCTATATAACTGTTCCTATTCAAGTACCATGCTGTTTTGATTATTATGGCCTTATAGTATAGTTTGATATCAAGTAGTGTGATACTTCCAACTTTGTTCTTTCTCTGGACCGCTGTCCTGCACTGTAACCACTGAGCCAAACTGGCCAGGTCCTTTGTTCTTTCTTCTCAAGATTTCTGTGGCTATTCGGAGTCTTTTGTTGTTCCATATAAATTTTTGGAATATTTGTTCTATATCTGTGAGATATGCCATTCATATTTTAATAGAATTTGTGTTGAATATATAGATTGCTTTAAGTATTATAAATATATCAACGATGTTAATTTTTCTATCCATGAGCATGGTATATGCTTTCACTTAATTGCATCTTCCTCAGTTACTCTCTTTAGTATCCTATAATTTTGTGAGTATAGTTCTTTCTTTATTTATTTATTTTTTGATATGTGCCCCTAGCAGTAACCAAACCCAGGGCTCTCTGGTCTACAGGCCGATGCTCCAACCGCTGAGTAAAACCAGCCAGGGTTGAGTACACAGTTTTTGTCTCCTTGGTTAAAGTTATCCCTAGGTACCTTATTTGTTGTATTTGTAAGTGGAATTATTTTCTTAATTTCTTTTTCTGACAATTCATTATTAGTATCCATTTCTGAATATTAATTTTGTATCCTGCTGCTTTGCCTAATTCATATGTCATGACACTTTAGTAGTTTTTGTGGAGTTTTTAGGGTTTTCTATGTACAATATCATGTCAACTGCAAATAATGAGAATTTAACTTCCTCCTTTCCAATTTGGATGTATTTTATTTTTTTCTTCTTGTCTAATTGCTGTGGCTAGTACTTCCAGTACTATGTTGAATAAGAGTGGTGAAAGAAGATAATCCATCTTGCTCCTGATGTTAAGGGAAACACTTCTAGTTTTGCTGATTGACTATGATGTTAGCTGTGGGTTGTCTGGAGCTACCACCTTATTCACTATTTGTGGCTGTGTCTACTGTACCTAGGTCCATGAGAGGGGCCAAGCTATGTACAAGGGTCAGCTTGCTTCAATTATGAGCTGGGATAAGATCAATAAAAGGCCCAAGAGTCCCTAATGTTGACATCCATCTGTCATGTACTCTGCTGTCCCCTGATGTTGTCTGGTCTTCCTCCAGAGCTTCCAAAGAAAGACTGTAGAGTGGCCCCTAGCTAGCCACTACCCACAGACCCTTTCACAGGATGCAAGTTCAGTGGTTCAGGATGACCAGGGTTGGGAGGACAGGACAAGTAGGTCTCCTACTTGGGAGCACCAAATTAGTTACTCAATGGGAAGTATGTGGCTTCTACTCCAGAGCCATACCACTCAGTCTACTAGGAGTCCAACTCTAGCTCTCTCAGGAGGAAAACCACACAGGTTCAGGTTGGGTACAGCCAGCGGTCCTCACTGCAAGAACAAGCTCAGCAGGGTGGAGCCACTGCGACTCAGGAGGACAAACCAGAAGAGTCTCCCATTGGGGGTGGCACCCAGCAGTGAGGGGAAAGACCTTTGCCTCCATCCCATTGGAACTCTGCAGTTGTGCCTATTGGAGTTCCAACAGGAGGCTCTTGAAGAGAAACACTCTGAAGGTCCTAGCTCTGAGTGGTTTTTCCTGTGGAAATGAGCTCAGCAGGGTGGGGACATTGAGACTTGGGAGGTCAGATTGAAACAGACTTGCCTTGTGGGTGGCCCTGTCCTGCTGAAAGGGGACATGCCCTTTGGACTTGGCAGGTGGTGTTGCCAGTAGATGGAGAGTTGTTATTGCATTCCCCAGGTTGGTGATGAAAGAATAGGAGTGGCAGATTCTGGAAAGACAGTGCCTGAGAGCAGTGTGGGATATTGACTCAGGGTGGGGACCTCAGGAGCAGACCTTCCAAATCTGTCTTCAGGGCCATGCCACCCAGATCTTCTCTTTATGACTCCCATGTGCCCTGAGTCACCTATCCTCTATCATAGCCACAGGTGAGTGCCCTAGCACAAATTCCTGTGCATTGGCCCTTGAAGAGAGCACCGGGTGCTTTGGCCAGGTAGCTCAGTGTTTAGAGAGTCATCCAGATTCCCCAAGGTTGTGGGTTTTATCTGTAGATCAGGACACATATAAGAATCAACCAAGAAATGCATACATAAGTGGAACAAGTTGATGTGTGTTTTCTTTATTTCACTCTCTCCCTTTCTTTCTCTAAATTCAATCAATAATTTTTTTTTTTTTTTTTTTTTTTTTTTTTTTTTTTTTTTAGGAAAGATAAAGAGAGCACCTGGGTTTCTAGCAGACTTCTTCCTTTTTCAGGCAGACTCCCCACTGATTTTCACTGCAAGATGTTAAAAAATATGGAACACTTTAAGAATTTGTACGTCATCCCTGTATAGGGGTCATGCTAATTTTCTCTGTTTCATTCCAATTTTAGTATATGTGCTGCCAAAGTGAGCATTTATTCTGGTATTATTTTGTTATTATTTATTTTATTTCCATATTTTTTCCTAATAATGTGATTTGTACCGATTTATACTGGTATGTATTACCCTTCCATAAAATTATTTTTTAACTTTTTCATTTCATCAACGGTTAACATAAATGGTATACTTTCTTGGTGTATATAAACAAATAAAGCCTATTTATCTCCTTTTACCTAAGAACCCAACCAGTAAATCCTCAGTTTTAAGTCATGGAGTAAAGTAAGGCTTTGAAGAGTTGTATGCCTTCAATACCTTCTGCTCTAGTCCCAGGAGATAATAATAGGTAACATTATAGATCATTTAGTGTAGGACAAGCACTGCACTCTGTACTTTACATATAATAACACATTTAATCATCTCCAAAACCCTGTGAGATGAGCTCTGTCATTATCTACACTAAAATTAAAACTCCATGAAAGCAATGTATTTCTGTTTTGTTCACAAATATATCCCAAGTGCTAGAACAGTGACTGGCATATAATAAGGATTCTAGAAATGTTTGCTTAATAAATCTATTCACAAATTTACAAATAGGAAGAATGGTAGAACACAGAGTTTACATAACTTATTTTAATTTTACTTCCAATAATTGGTAGAATCCAGATTGAAATCTAGACACTTTGGTGTTAAGAGTTTGTGCTCTTTACTATTACACTTTTAGAAGAGTTGTTCTCTTTTTGTTTTTTTCTTTTTCTCTCTTCCCCATGAACCAAAGCCTATATTTTCTTAAGATAGTTTAATAATGTTATTTTCAGAATGTATATTCTCTGTCAAGATACCACTTTTATCTCATAATAGTATATATTCCAAAACAATGTATCAGGATCAAGATCCTTTTTAGAATCTACCGATTTCTTTCTTTTTTAAATTTTAAAAGTTAATTTTTAGAGAGGAAGGGAGGGGGAGAGAGAGAGAGAGAAACATCAATGTGAAAATGAAACATAAATTAGCTGCCTCCTACACATCCCATACCTGGGATTGAGCCAGCAACCCAGGTGTGTTAGCTGACTGGGAATTGAACCAGCAACTTTTCAGTGCATGGGAGGATGCCCAACCAACTGAACCACAAGAGCTAGTGCTCCACTAATTTCTTGTCAATGGTCTTAGTCCCTCTTCTGATTACCACTAGTCTTAGTGCACCTGAAGTCTTGGTAGAAATGAAGAAGGTGCAGCCAGTGTTGTAAGTGAAGTTGAGTTGGCCCCTACTTCCCTGGATCTCTCTGTACACATTTTAATCATACACAACTTGACTTTCATCTCATTTTTTCTCTGACACCACTCTCATGGCCACTGATAACTTCAGTGTGGCAAATCCAGTAGCCCCTTCTTGATCCCACATGTCTAAAATTTCAAGGGCTAAATGAGAGTTAATAGTAGTTCACTCAGTTTGTTTTTGAAACATTCTTCTCTTTGGAGCCTCCACAGCATCACAGTTTTCTTTCTACTCATTTCACTGCATATTCTTTGGCTTCACTGTTTAATTTCCCTCTTTTACTCAACCATTAAACATTAGGTTATTTCAGGGCTTGTTTATGGGTCTGCTTTCCTGGTTTTAATTATATTTTCACCAGAGATGATAATGCTATCTTTTGACTTTAAATACCTCATATTATTTCTTTGACTTTATATCACTAATTTAAATATTTGCTCATGAATTTCAAACATATGTTAAACTGTCTCTCTGATATTGCTTTAAAAATTATTTATAAACATTACAATCTGAATGAATACAAAATAAAACTTTTTATCCTAATCATCCCCCAGCCTACAAACCTGATTTTCCCAGGTCTTTTCAATTCTGTAGGTGCCCTCAATTGTCAACAACCTATGAAGAAAATTGTTTTACTTATAAACTGCCTTGTTTCATTCATAAGTTCTCCAAAATATTTAGCAAATCCCTTTGTTATTTAATTTGCATCTACCACTACCTACTTCTAAATGTGCATCACTTCTTGCATCAACTACCACAATACCTTATATTTTCTTCTATTCGTCCATCTTTATAACCCTTTCTCTATTCAGAAGTACAAGTGATAATTAAAATTATAAATAATAATATGCCAGACACTAACTTAAAAACATTTCACCTTACCATAATCACATCATGACTAACTTCATTTTATAGAACATTCACTATCCTCACCGAATCATGTGGGCATCATTTTCTTTTCTCAAGTAGACCAATATCTTTTTCAAAAACATGTCCATCCCTAAGACATTTATATCAAAGGCCACGTTTTATTCTTCAGCTATCATATGACACTTTATCTTCTTTAGAATTACTTTCTAATTCAGTTCATCTTTATTAAGACACCATGTTTATTTCCTTTGATTTATCACAATTTATTATCTGGGTGGCCTATTAGTTTTCTTTTGTGTTTTCTGTAGTTCTCTAAAAAATATGAGTTCAGGACCTTTGTTTATCTTGTTTCCTACAACATTTCCAATGCCTAACATAATGGCTGGAATAGATGTGAAATGATTATTTAAAAAAAAAAAAAAAAAAAAAAAACATTAAATTGTGTTGTTCAGTGGCCTTCAAAAAGAAAATCTGCATTTAAAGCCAGATAGAGTTTAATAGTACTCAAATTTCTGTTTTATATAAATGAGGTGGTGGGAGGAAGGAATCCAGGCAATGGTTGGAACTTTGGGAGCCAGAATTAGGCTTGGAAATGGTTCAGGTTTACCCTTGTTTTCAGCAGGCACTGGAGGAAAGCAGGGATATAATAAGCCTCCTGGGCATGGTCCGACACAGGGGAACATAGTTTAGAGGACATACCCAATCTCAAAGGGCCAAGCAGAGAGGAAAAATAAGATTCTAAGCAAAGAGATTGCAACCAGTCCACAAAAGACAGATTGGGAAGGGTGAAAAGAGGGTAGCACAGTCGTTTCTCTGAGAAAAATTCATGTTATCATTTTTTTTTCTGTTTAAAATACTTTATTTTCCTCGAGTAATTTCAGGTTTGTGATAAAATTAAGAGGAAAGGACCTTCTGCCCCAGCACATAAAAGGCCTACCATATAGTCAACATCCCCCATAAGATTGGTACATTTGTTACAGAAATATTGACACATCATAATCACCCAAAGTTCATGGTTTACATTACTACTTGTTCTTAGTGGTTTCGACTATGAGTTTGGACAAATGAATAATGGCATGTATCCATCATTATAGTATCATACAGAGTATTTTCACTACACTAAATATACTCTGTGCTTCACCTGATCTTTTACTATATCCATAATTTTGCCTTTTTTATAATATCATGAAATCGTACAGAGTGTGGTATATAGCCTTTATAGATAATATACATTCTTTCCATTAATGATAAGCATTTAAGGTTCCTTTATGTCTTTTCATGGTGTGATAACTCATTTCTTTTTAGTGCTGAATTCAGTGTAGGAAGGGATTGTAGATTTGTCCTTGAAAAGCGGGTCAGCAATTAAGGGGCTTACTGAGCACTCTACATCACAGGTGGAGAAAATGATTTCTATAACATATCTTGATGGGATAACTTAACACCCTCAAAGGAATTTTAAATGCAAAATTCAAAAGGCTCTTTACTCATTTTCTTTATATTATATCATACATCATTCCTGACCATGACCTTCTTCTCAACCCAGAATTATATGTGTGATATATTCTAATATCCTACACTATTATGAGAGTAAGAATATATACCAAGACAAAAGAAGAGGCTGGCAAGTTTGACTGGAGTAGAGACTAGTGAAAATCAAGGCCAGATTACATAATGAAGTCAATTATTCTTGAAGAAGATTATTAAAACTCAAAAGACATTAATAAGGTTGTAAGAAATGAGATTGTCTTGGTACTCCCTGGAGAAAGAAGTTTATATGAGTTAAACAGAATTAAATAAATGTGTGCAGGCAAGGAGCAATGTAGAGACAGACTTTGTAATGATACAGTGGTTAAAGGATCTACATCACCAGGTAATGCTATCTTCCTCTGAACCTGAATTTGGTATGTTCCAGGAAAAGCTAGTGGTGTGTGATATTCATCAATCCCTTGGACAAATCAGACAGAGTTCACTGTAAACCTGAATATCACATTTGGAAATGTAACACTGAACTAATGTTTAATACCTACATCAGATCATGTGTTTACTATCAAGCAGAACATAAATTATCATGCTGTTCAACCCTGCTTGAAATTGCTATGTACCTCCTTAAAGCTTTACAGTACATTTGTTTTCTTAGTTATTAATCCTTTCCAATATAACTATATGTATTTTTAGACTAGCAAATTCAACCTTTCCGGAAAACTTATTTTATTACATTACTAAGATTACACCAATAAAAGCAGATTTACTGAGCAAAGTAAAAAGATTAATCAACAAACAAAAATGAAAAAAAAAAAAAAAACTAGCACCTAAGAGACTTCCCAGACACTGACATATCTGTCATTATTCTATTCTAGAAAGAAAATAGTATTTCATTTAAAAATCTTACTTTCATGTAATGTTTTCTAAATAAAGACATTGTCTGAGCATAGAAAAAGCAAAATTATTTGTTATAGAGCCAATAATTAAATTATGGCTACTAATTTTGGTATGAATAAAACAATATGAAAGAGCTCATATTATAAAACCATGACCATTGTCATGATTTAACACTATATGCTAAAACTTTTACAGGGTACTCATACAACTCAACAAAAGGAAGACAAAGAACCCAATTAAAAAATGGGCAGAGGAACTAAACAGATACTTCTCCAAACAGGACATACAAATGGCCAAGAAACAGATCACAAAATGCTCAATGTCACTAATCATCAGAGAAATGTAAAGTAAAACAACTGTGAGGTGTCACCTCACACCTGTCAGAATGGCTGCCATCAACAAATCATCAAACAACAAGTGTTAGCTGGCGAGGGTGTGGAGAAAAGGGGACTCTAGTACACTTCTGGTGAGAATGCATATTGGTGCAGCCACCATGGTGTTACCTCAAAAAATTAA